GGTTGGACTACTTTTATCTTCTTAGGCCCGTAGTGACGATTCAAACTGACCATTCTGTGGCCAACTTGTTGGCAGTATTTCAGTTTGCAATCTTGGAGTTTCCCGCGAAAGTCCTGTTGACTAATGAAATTCATACCATGTGCTGTTTTAAGGAACTGTTTGTTTGCACTGAATTCTTTTTTGCTTTTTCTTTTCATGTTATCAAGAAAGAAACTAATTGTGGTAATTTTATATACGATCTCAAACTCAAACAAGTAGCATGGGAAAAGAGTCGAATCTAAACGTAGCGTTGTGTGAAGAAACAGCCAACAAGTACGCGACTCTGTTGCATTTCAAAAAGATTCCACTCTGGAAATCTGAGTCTCGAAGAGGAGAACCATTGTATACGTCCTTCGAGGTTTTGTAATCCAGACTTAAGTTGGACTGGTCCACAACTACCCGCGGGTTATCGAAAAACCTAGGCGTATGATGTTTAATTACTTTTCTTCATGTGAATAAAATCGGAGGGAGAAAAGGCCGAATAATTATGTTTCCTTAGGACTGAGCAAAATACAACGAATATTTTGGTACAAGGTTTTCTCTGCCCTTTTTGCGCAGATTTTAAGCAACTCCACTACCCAACCGCATTGAACCGTCAAAACCCAGGTGCTTTGTTATCTCTGACCGACAACATGCACTTCAAATTTTAAAGGCCAGCTAAACTCATCTTGTTACGCGAAACATTATGCGGTAAAAATCAAACATCTATTATTCGAACTGGCCCTATACTTTTCCACTGATCCCACAGAAAGCGTCTTGGACGTTGAAATAACCGTTTTATGAAACCATTTCAGCCTGCTTCTTTATCAGACCCTGTCCCAACTTGTTATCAGACCTCAACATATCTTCAGTTTTTTTGAGGGAAATGTAGGCGTGCACCTTTGAATTTCGTATTTTTTTTAACTGCACCTTGTGATATCAGACATTCTAGAAATGTATCAATAAATGCAAGTGAGTGTGACAAATATAGCTGGACAAGTGGAAATAAATGGTCACACAAAATCTTAGAGCGAAGGAGGAAAGTTGTGCAATTGTCATTCCGGGAATCAGTTAGGTTTTATTACGGAAAATATAGGCAGCCGCCTTTGCGCTCTCCTTTTCTTACACGGTGGCTGGGAAATGCATTGATACAGCAGAAAAACTCACGAAGGAGGCCCTTACATAATTGCAGACGACAAACGAGCAGCCGTTGGTTAGTCGAGAAGATTACATATACACGACTACTCACTTATTATGAGTAGCGTAATAACATGCATATTTATTACTTCGGGAATAGTACCTCAGCTTATTGGCGATGCCAAGTGACATGAACCAGTGTGATGGAAAAAAAAAGCAAAAAAAGCGCATACAGTTAAAGAAAAACAAATTCGTTGGGCGTTTTTGGAGACCATAGACACTACGGGTATAGACTGAAATCCGAGCGTTTTTCGGGAAATATAGAGTTTTGAATTAATTTGTAGCTTTTTCTAGGAAAAAATCGGTCGCTTATGGGAGGAAAATATGCGCGAGATAGGACCGTCTTGTTGATGAGAGCTTGTGAGAGTTCGAGACGCTCCTCATGGAAGAAATTTAACAACAGAGGCTAACTCGTTGCTATATAACCGTACGACTAGTTTCGAGAAGGTGAGACAGTAAACCCTTTCACGGTCATCATCCCTATAACACCCCGCAATAGAAGATCTTTCGAAATCAACGCGAAACAAAGAATTCGTCTATTTCAAGTTTTTTAGGATTCTTTTGAGCCGGGATAAGTAAACGTTATGACAAAGGTGTAGATGCTGCCGGATTCATATCTTGGTTAGGAACGCCTATTCCGAAACAGATCATACGCCTTTAAATTCTGCGTTTGAAAGTCAAAAGTCCCTGAGAAGAAGTCGAAAATTCGATCACTGGGACAACACTTTTATTCGCCTGGCGTCTCGACCGGCCCGCATGCCGGTCATCAAGTAATCCACGCAAAAAAGAAAAATTATTGTCAATTATCGTTATTTCTCATACGTGTGCAGTAATAACTGTGTCCTATAGATACTGCATCTTCGAGTGCGTGTATCACCCGTGTCTGCTACTTTTTTTCTGCTCATGTTTCTGATGAAGAATCCGCGATGGAGTTCGAAACGTCAGGCGAATAAAAGTGTCGTCCCAGCGATCGAATCTTCTTCTTCTT